GAGGAGCCTGCGGGTGGGAGGGGCGGGCCGGGCCGCCGGGAGCCTTCATGGAAGTGACCCCCGGCCACCTGTGAATCTACGGTTTAAATCGCTGAAAGCAGAGCTGGGGTGTCCGGGACTTGCTTCGGTGGAGCATTTCTTCGCCGCCTGCCCCCCGGTGATCCCGCGCCCCCTGAGCTGGGGAGCCGCGCTGTTAGGGGCCGACGGCACTCGCGCATCCTGAGTCCGGATCTCCGGGGTGCTGGCTCCCTCTGGAGCAGAGGCTGGACCAGATGAAAGGACCCGAGCAGTGGAGCAAATACATATGTGAAACTCTCTTGCAAAGGGGTCTGGGGGAAGCTCCACAGCTGAAAGCACGACCTGGAATTCCCCTCGTAAGCCAACGCCCACATATTTAAATTGAGGGGAGGGGGGTGAATAGCTGTAGCCCGAGAATTAAATTGACACGCAGACGTTGAAAATATGTAGTGGTTACGTTTTGTTCTGCTTGGATGCGGCAGAAAATCGTAATATTTACTATGCGTCAGCACTGGCTTTGCTGAGATATGACTTGTTTCTCCTTTTCCCTGTGCCTTTAGTTGTTCTGCCCGTTGAGACCTGCATGAGCGCCTGCCACTGAAATAGTTTATGTCAATGCAGATTAAAAACAGAAACTCCGCGTGAAGTGTGCTCTGGCGCCACGACACAAAACTTACAAAATCATGTTTGTGAACTGGGCAGGACAACAGCTTTTTAAATGTTCGTCTGCTTTAAAATCTCCTTTTCTTTCTCCTGTGAAGTTTATTCCATTGTGCTCACGATGACGGTTGGATTCGTTAGCAGGAGGACACGGGACATAACCTGGACTTTTCTGCCGTAGTGTCCTCATTTAGCAGATATTTATGGAACACTTACTGTGTGGAAAGCACTATCCTTGAGCCTGGACAGATACAAAAAATAACAGGCCCCTGCTTTACATCCTAGTTGAGATGAGATTGGGACATTGATAGTTAATATATAATAAATGAGTGCTGTCTTATTCAGGATGTGTGCCAGTAAACCATGACCTCAGAGAGCTAGGCTTTGCTCTGTTCCAGATGCCGTCTCACACAATTGACAGTGTTCCCATTAAATCTGTACAACAGTGTCTAAGGGAGAGTATTTTCATTCCCGGATCCGGAAGAATTTGATAAAACTGGCAATGAGATATTACAAGTGGAAGAACATAAAACCTGTACACAAACACAGATGTGAAGAGTAGCTTCCAGGCCTTATTTTTTTTTTCTATGAGTTCATTGATACTATCCATTTCCATGATTTCACTTTACAGCCATATCAGAAATTCATAATCTTGGGGAATCATGGATGAGTTTCAGGAAGCCTATGAAAGAAAAGTGTATACACATATTTTTAAAAAATTTTTGTCATGATATTTTCCCAAAATGGTTTATGACCTTTTCTCTCAACTAGAGGCACTTATTTCCAACTATCTGCTGGAAATCCACTTTTATAACCTGCAGATTCCTCCCCTTGTCTAAAATTGAACTTTTTATCACCCCTGCCCCCAAAGCTGCTTGTGGTTCCTACTGTGTTCTCTGCCTTCATGAATAGTATACCACCATCCATCCTCCTGGAAACTCCCACTTCTTCCCTATACTCCTCCTTCCCTTCTGCCCCATCTAGTTTACATCATCTTTTCGGTTGAATTTAGTTCAGTTTTATTCATATGGATTACGTGCTGCTATGAAGCTGATACTGAATCTAACAGTTCAAATTTTTAAAGCTAAGATTCAATTCTAGTTTGAAAAGAGCTTGATTTCTTAGGAGGAGGGAGATAGACATAAAGTGATCATTATAAGTTATAAAACACATTCATCCAAAACACCATTCACTTGGCACTCTGCTAAGTTCAGGGTACACAGAGTCTAACAAAACATACCTGGTTCTTGCCTCCTTCAAACATGTAGGTCATTAGGGTTGAAAACAAATAAATGTATAATTACATTAAGTACTATTAAGGAGACAGACAGATTTTGAGACTAACGGGGCATCTCCTCGAGGTAGGATGGTCAGGGAAGGTTATATTTAAAGTGGTTCCTGAAAGATATGACAGAACTCAGGGAAGAACATTCTAGGCAGAATAGAATTTGCAAAGATCTTATGACTTGGGGAACATGGAACAAGGCAGAAGGTTCCCTGAGGTGAAGTTAGGAAGGTGAGCTAGAGCCATATTATTAAGGGTCTTACAGATGGTAGTAAAGGGTTTGGATTTTTTTCACAAGTGCTGTAGGGACTTATTGAAGAACTAATGTTATATTTTAAAAGATCCCTCTGCCTATTGTATGGACTAAGGAGAGCAAAAGTGAAAAGAGGGAAGCCAATGAAGAGACTCGTAGAATTTATATAGTTAAGAGTTGATGGTGATTTAGATCAGGTTGAAGGCAGTGGAAATGGATAGAGGAGGAGAATTCCAGGTGCATTTTTGAAATAGAAATGATAGGCCTTGTAATGGATTGAATGTAGGAGTTGAGGAAGAGAGTGGAATCAGATTAGTAAGTAGAAATGTCAAATCAGCATCTTAACCAACAAGTCTGGAGATCAGAAGAGAGATCTGACCTGGAAAGGTAAGTATGAGATTGAATGTGTTCACCTAGAATGTTGAGAGCTAAAAGGGAAGAGAGAAATCATAGAAGAATTTTGAAAAGTGAGAAGTTATAGCCACAGAGATGGGAAGAAAGCCAGGAGAGTGTGGTGTGCATATGAGGCAAAAAGGTATTTCAAGGAAGTAGTGGTCAACTGTGTTTGTGTTGCTGAGATGATTGAAAAGTATCAGATTTAGCATTAAGGAGGTCATCGGTGACTTTGAGAAGAGTGGTGGGACAGAATGGGAATGTCAGGATGAATTGGGAGATGAAAAGTGGAGTCTTGGTATATAGAAAAATGAAATGTATCCATAGGGTACTGCAAGGACAGCGGAGATGGGTGCCTAACTTACTCTGAGGAGTTTAGGTAAAGCTTCCTGAAGGAGATGACCACTGTCCTGGATCTTAAAGGATGAATAGCGACTTGGGGTATAGAGAAGAGAAAACAAGATAAAGGTAACAACGTAAAGAAATGTAGAGTTCCAAACAAGCAGTTTTAGGTACAACATAAAGTACCAGGACTGATAGAGGTGGTGATAGATTAAACTGGAGAGGTAGGTAGGATCCATACTGTGAAGTGCCCTGTCTGACATTATCAAATAACTATTATATTCACTGTCTCATTTAGTCTTCCTAGCAGTCCTCTAAAGTATTATTATTTTATCAATAGGGAACAGGAAGTTTAGAGAGGTTAAGTAACTTGCCCCAGTTCTCAAGATTTGAACTGAGGTTGGTCTGAGACCTATTCTTCTGCCGGTGTTGAGGAAATTGATCCTTTTAAGTCAAGGGTAGAACACAGTGTTTTAAATTTTTAAAAAATTAGCTGGTGACATTTCAATATTAGACTCTATATAACACCCCAGATTTCCACTTTCTTTTGAAAAATTGGAAGATCAGGTAGGTGTGTGAAGGAGACTTTTGAGAGGGAGGAGAGAAGTAGGAACTATAGCTAGGTGTCCATGTTATAGTCCATGCAACATATAAGGACCTGAACTAGAGTAATGCTAATAGTAGAGATGAAGTGAAGGGACAAATTAGATAAATATAAAGGGTAGAGTGGCAGGTCTTGGTGGGTGGATGATCAGATGTGGCAAGTGAGTGAAAGAGGGAGAAAAGAAAAAGTCAAGGATCAGTTGTAGGTTTTATAGCATGATTAGGTGGGTGGATGAATGAGAACATCAAAGGAAAAGAATAGGGGTAGATAACTGGTTTATGACGTTGAATTTCAAGTACCTTTGGGATGTCTAGGTGGAGAAAGTCTTGATCACATACACAAATATGGGAATCATCAGCATATAGGTGGTAAAAATAATAACATGAGGTTTTTCAAGGGGTTCATCTTTTATATGTAGTCTGTCTCTATCTTCACAATTTAAATTTATGCACTCAGTATATATTACGTAATATACTGCAGCAATCTTCTAATTGGTCTCCTCTGACCCTCGTTTTTCCTTCTCCCAGTTCTCTGCAAAAATGTTCTTATTGTTTCTTATTTATAAACCTTAGATGACTCTTTTGGCTACAGGGAAATGTGTGTTCCTCAACATGTTGTAAAAATTCTTTTGCCTGGTCGATTGAGTGTTGACTCACGCACCAAGAGGTCACTGGTTCAATTCCCTGTCAGAACACATGCCCCAGTTGTGGGCCCAATCCCCAGCAGGGGGCGTGGTGGAGGCAGCCAATGGATGTTGACGCGTCAGTGTTTCTCTCTCTCCATTCCTCTCGCTCTAAAATCAATTAAAACATATATTTTTAAAAAATTTTCCATGATTTCACCCCCGTTTTCCTTCCTAATTACATTCCTCACCACCCTGTCACATGCAGCCTGTGTGCCAACTACCCCAGACTTTTTGCTATTTTCCCACTGTGCACCTTGCCTCTAGCAAAAGTGTAGCCTCTGTAAATTTCCCAGATATTGTAGGTAGAGTGAATTGCTTACTCTGTGCTTCCCCAGTCTTTTAATTTCTGGGTCATACCACATTGTCTTTTAATTATTGGCTTGCATGTGATATGTACTCTCCAACTAGACCATATGCCCTTTGCTTGTGGGATTCAAGTCTTGTTGATCTTTGCATGCTCAGCACATGGTATATTAGGTATTTAGATATATGAATGTTTGTTGTGTGAATAAATAAATGAATTTTGGGGTTCAGTGGACTGGGAACTATAGGAACGCTTCACCTAGCCTACTTTTCTGCCACCATATACTAGGGTATTTCTAAAATCTTCCATTGCTTTTTGATCATCATTATAAATGTAAGTCAAATTAGTTATCATTGTTACCATCAGTAACGTTTATTGATCATTAACTTCTCTAAGAACTTTACATGTATTTATTCCTCATAACATTTAGATGAGGAAACTGAGGCACAGAGGAGTTACTTACCCGTATGTAGTAAACGGAGGAGCTAGAATACATCACTGGCTTTGGACTATTGATGCTGTTTATTCAGACCCATGTCATTTTTCTGCTAATTAAGCCCCTTTAGCTACCTATCAGGTCTAGACCTGTTCTCTGTGATTTCCTTTAATTTCTTTCAGCATTCACTATTCCTTTAAGTTAGGTTTCTCCTCTTCCCCCCTCCTCTCCCCCCGCCTTCTCCACATCTTTCTTTGTTTTATATATATATTTTTTTATTTTATTGATTTTTTACAGAGAGGAAGGGAGCGGGATAGAGAGTTAGAAACATCAATGAGAGAGAAACATCAATCAGCTGCCTTCTGAACACCCCCTACTGGGGATGTGCCCCCAACCAAGGTATATGCCCTTGACCAGAATCAAACCTGGGACCCTTCAATACGCAGGCCGACGCTCTATCCACTGAGCAAAACTGGTTAGGGCTTCTCCACATCTTTCTACCTCCCTTCTACTAACTGACTCACTGAGTTATAGTCTTTCCAGCTGACTCCAAAGATAGACACATTATGGGTCCTTTTAGTTTAGTGAGGTTTTTTTTTTATATATATATAATGGTTTTACTCAAGGAAGATGGAAAATTAACAAAAATGAGGAAGTTATAAGCTATGGGACCTCAAGTTACCCTCTCTGGTCCTGACTAATTCTGGATTCCTTGATAAATGGTAACTGAAATGTATGGAAGCCTCTGCCCTCATCTTTAGCCCCAAAGGTGATATTCAGCAGACTTCTCTATTCCCATGGACCCAAACCCTTTGGATTACCATGGCCTCTCCTCACAATGCCCTGGTCTTGGTTTATAGATGTGAAAATGAGATCAGAGCAGGACAGAAGCTGTACGGAATGTCTCATCTAGGACTTATTTTGTCTACTTGACCTTCATCTTAATAGCATGCATTTTAGTAAGCCTGAACCTTCAACTTCAGGATGTTTTCTCTCACCAGTTAAGTTTCCTATGTGATTTCCTTAGGTGTTAAAAAAATTAACATTGAAGCACATTTTATGTCTTTCAGGCCTTAGAAAATTTGCGTGTATATCTGTGTGAAAAAATCATAGCTGAGAGACATTTTGATCATCTGCGTGCAAAAAAAATACTCAGTAGAGAAGATACTGAAGAAATTTCTTGCCGAACATCAAGTAGAAAAAGGGCTGGAAAATTGTTAGACTACTTACAAGAAAACCCCAAAGGACTAGATACCCTTGTTGAATCTATTCGGCGAGAAAAAACACAGAACTTCCTGATACAGAAGATTACAGATGAAGTGCTAAAACTTCGAAATATAAAACTAGAATATCTGAAAGGTAAATATCTCAGGTATCCAAGAGTTCATTTAAATGTAACAATGCTTTTAGAAGTAAAATGCAAAACATTAACAAAAAACCCCAGAAATGATCATTTTGCTTTCATTGAAAAGTTTAAGCTTCAGAATTATATTCATTTGCATTTTTAACTTATATATAGTAGGATGTCATTATACTGGAAAAGTGGAATGTCACTTAAGTGGAATATCACTTAATGTTCTATATTTATATCCAGTTAACAGTATAATTTATAGAAAATGTAACTATAATAAAGTCCCAGTGTACACAGGGGTTTGTTTCTAAAGTCAGCAGAATGGCAGATTAATCTAGTCAAAAGTAACTCCTGAAAATGCACTTACACATAAAGAATAGTGTGTAAGCAAAGTATTTTAATAAGTCCAACTCAGTTTTCCTCCTACCAGTTGATCACAAGATAAAGTAGTTGGCTGTGTTTATAAGAATCATGTTGTATAAATTATACATAACTTTAAACACTAGAATTATACTCAGTCTGGCAAAATGTGAGAGAGGCATGAGAACTGAGGTGGATGAAGGAATAGCAAATTTATGTCTCCTGTTTCACCCTAACCCCAGTGCACACACTCACTGATTGGAATGGTCTGTAGAATTGCCTGTACAATTTAAATTCCCCTCTCGCCCTAAACCCCATCTCATTCTCCATCTCTTTCCAGAGCAGTTACGTTAAATGTGAATATGATGTAGCTCTACTCCAGCTGCTTTAGGCACTGGGAATACAGAAATGAGTAAAGTGCATGCTGGAACACAATGGAAGTTTCCCCTTCTGAGCCATATTTAAAAAAATAGTTTCTATAGCATGGAACAGACATGCTGACTGTATTGTGAAGTTGAAAAACTAGTGGGAAAAAATGATATATAAATGTGCTTTATAGACTTCAGGTTTTATATAACATTTGTCAACTCAGAAGGTTCTGTGTCAATAGATAGTTGTGGGTTGAATATTTTTGCTAAGCCTAACAAAATAAACTGTGTTTGTGTTTATTCTTTCTGTATTGAGGCTAATAGTTGGCTATACCCTTTTGATATGGTAAAATTCTTTGATCAGAATAACTGCCATCACTTAAGTAAATTGTTAGGTTGAAAATCAGAACATTATTTAATGTGAAGGGGAAACCTGGGATCTAGTTCTCTCTTTTCAATGAAACAGTCCTGGAATGCTGGGCATGACTTCACTGTTTCTGGGCCCCTGTTTGCCCATCTTTAATAGTAAGAGACTCAAAAAAAAAAAAAAATAGAGGCTCTCCCAGATGACCTCTAAAATCCCTTCCACTTCTAACACCCTGTGATTCAAGACTCAGTAATTAAGATTCATTAACTCACCCCAACTGGTTTGGCTCAGTGGATAGAGTGTCAGCCTGCGAATAAAATATATTTTTTTAAAAAGATTCATTAACTCATAGAATTTTAGCTATACCCTGTTTAAATTTTGTTTTTATTAGATAATGGTTTTTTGTGCCGATATGTTAAAGAACATTAGTTATGAAAGCCATTTCTTTCTCTTTTTTTAATATAATTTTTTATAATATTTACACGGCTAATGGTCTATTCTTTTTAAAAAATATATATTTTATTGATTTTTTACAGAGAGGGAGAGGGATAGAAGAGAAACATCAATGATGAGAGAGAATCATCAATCAGCTGCCACCTGCATGCCCCTACTTGGGATTGAGCCTGCAACCGGGCATGTGCTCTTAACCAGAATCAAACCTGGGACCCTTTAGTCTGCAGGCCGACGCTCTATCCACCAATGCAAACCAGCCAGGGCTGAAAGCCATTTCTTATTTTATGAAAAATTTTAAGGACTACTTTATTTTTCCCAGGTCTTTCAATGGTTAAGGATATAAGTATACGAAGTGAGTTTATAGCATGTTATTTAGCTTCCTTGAGACTATTTCCTTACCTAGAAAATGTATATAATTGTATACACTTCATAGTTGTTGGGAAAAGCAAATGAAATGTGAAATGGATTATGCAGAATTTATAAGTTATTTAAATTTTGTGTGGTAACTAGTTTGTAATATTTAAAATTGAACTCAATTTTCTTGTTACTTTTTATTAACATCTGAATAATTTTATTGTAGGACTAAAATGCAGCAACTGTGAGCCTTTTCCAGATGGAGCCACAAACAACCTCTCTAGATCTAATTCAGATGAGAGTTATTTCTCTGAAAAACGGAGAGCATCCACTATGTACCATCCCGAAGGAGAATCCAGCACAGCCCCCTTTTTTTCTACTGATTCATCTCTGAATTTGCCTGTCCTAGAAGTAGGCAAAACTGAAAACCCTACATTCTCTTCAACTACACTTCCCAGACCTGGGGACCCTGGGGCTCCTCCTTTGCCCCCAGACTTGCAGCTAGACGAAGAAACTTGTGGAAACTCTAGTGAGATGTTTCTTCCCTTAAGATCACGTGCTCTTTCAAGGCAATGACAGTTTACAGCCTCTTCTATTTTTTTAATAATGACTAATATTTGGAAGGATATGAATCTTTATAAAACTGCTATAATGACTTATTAACACCTGATACATCTCTTTTTAAATGCAATGTAAGCACACTTTGTAAATAGACTTTTGTGGATACTCTTAGATAGCTAAAGTAAATCATATTGATCATGTACTTTTAAGAATTTTGTGGGTTTTGGTTTTTTTTGTTTTTCATTTTATAGGTATTTGCTGTTTTCACATTTTTTATGTTTTAAGACCAATTTTAATAGGGAACATTTCTCTATTTGATAATAGAGTCTCAGACTGGGAATGATGTTTCTCAGTGCATTTGTGCTAGAAATTTTCACAGTCTAATAGTCCTTTCCAACCATTTAGCAGTAAATTTTCAGGATGAAGCTGTTTCTAAATCTCCTATATAATAAAAGCCTAATATGCAAATTGTCCCTTCAACTGGGAGTTCAACTGCTCGCTATGACATGCACTGCCCACCAGGGGGCAGCATGGAACATAGCAGGCATTGGTGACGTGGTGCTGGCAGCGGGTAGCAGCGGGTAGCAGCGGAGGCACTGCCGGCCCTGATGGGCCCTGACGAGAGCAGGACTGCAGTGGAATGGTGGAGCAGGTGAGCAGGCGGCGCCAGGCCAAGGCAGGTGTGAGCAGGGCCCGATCGCCCCAAAGACAGCGACCAGCGGCGGCAGTGGGGGGTGGGACCGCCACCTGGCTCCCACGCGATGAGGGAGCTGAGTGAGGACCCGATGACTCAGGTGGAGGGGGGCGCACGGGGCCCTGGGGCCCCAAGTGCTGCCCAGGGCCCAGAGGTCAGCTGGGACCTGTCCTTCCTCACCAGACGCTTGTGCTTCGATCACCGGCCAGGCCTAGGGACCACACCCGTGCACAAATTTCATGCACTGCGCCTCTAGTTGATAATAGAGCCAATCACTAATGGGAAAAACTGTCAGTGAACCAAAAAAAATCTCTTTCCTACTGAGTTTGGCTTGCAGACACAACAAAATCCCCTTCTGATGCACAGGAACATAGGAGTTTGAGCCACCTAAAATCTCAATTTGCCAACATACATCTACTAACCTTACTAATTCACACTTTCTTAAGATTTTCACATTTTCATTCCTAAAGAAAAATCTTTACAGAAACCTGTTATTACATGTAATTTGATGAGATTTTTAAGAAATACTTTTTCTGCACTTTTCATTTTCTTTTAATGAGGACCACTGTGCAAGTTAACATAACTGGAACAAAATGTTTTTTTCCCATGTGTATGTGTTTGTCTGTTTTTAATACTATTTGGAACAATCAAAGCAGTTAGATTTTTCTATTATATAACAAAGTTTGACTAAATTTGTGCATTTATAAATTATGCCCTCATTGTGTTCATTTAAATTATAATTCTATTTTCTGATCTCCATCTAATATATTTCCATTAGTTGCAAAAAACGGAGATGGAAACATGCTATTAACAATAAAAGTTTTTGAATTGTGCTGTGTTTCGGAAGTTTCAAACTTTTCAGTAGGAAGAAATATATAAAACAGTTATTTTATATGTACTAATTTTTATAGAAAATATTGCAAGTTATGGGATCAAGTTGTATTTCTGGATAGACTGAGTTTATCACTCATGAAGAAGAGTGGCATATTGGTTTTAAAAAATTGTAAAGACTGATTTTTTTAGTGTAAACATTTTCTAAGGATTATGGAGAAACATGTTTCATGTCCAATGTAGCATAAGAAAATAGTGGCATTACATTTAAATAAACCTATTTTAAAAGCAGAAGCAGGCTTTTCTTATTATTAAAATTTGATATGCAGTTGTTTTTTTAAAATTTAAGTAGGATTTACTCATAATCAAAGACCATAATTTTTTTTATTATTTTATTGATTTTTTACAGAGAGGAAAGGAGAGGGATAGAGAGTGAGAAACTTCGATGAGAGAAACATCGATCAGCTGCCTCCTGCACGCCCCCTACTGGGGATGTGCCGGCAACCAAGATACATGCCCTTGACCAGAATCGAACCTGGGACCCTTCAGTCCACAGGCCGACGCTCTATCCACTGAGCCAAACCAGTTAGGGCTCAAAGACCATAATTTAGATATGCTAGAGTACCTATATTTATAGTTTATAACACTGAGTTTTTTCAGACTTTTGAATAGCTATATAGACAATAAAATATAGTTGTGTTTTTTTAAAAACAAATTTAGGTTTTTGGGTTTTCTGAATCCTATAAAGTCATCCCCCCGCCCCGCCCCCCCCGCCATTAAACACTGAAAACAAGCCAAACACTGAAAACAAGCCATTGCCAACAAATGTTTAAATGAATGATTGACATGATACAATTAAACTGGTTACTGGGTTGATTAATTATAGCAGTGAAAAGGTTACTTTTTACAGATACCATATTATCAACATAATAC